ATATTTGTTTGCATAAACATTTATCACAAGGCCTGCCGGGAAACAGATATCAGACAGTTGCTGCAAAAGCACGATCCCCAGAGATCACATGATCATTTTATTTTCGCCAATTTCAAATGTGAATTGACACAAAATGACAAAATGAAATTAATAGCTCTTCTGGGCACATTGCCTCTTTGGGCTAATGCAAAAAATGGATTATGCCAGGGAAAAATGACCAAAATGAAATTAATAGCTCTTCTGGGCACATTGCCTCTTTGGGCTAATGCAAAAAATGGAATTAGGCCAGTGGAAAGAAGACAGATTTTCGGTACATAAAACTAAAAGTTTCCTTTTGGTCCCACTTGGCAAAAAGACATTGAAGATGCAGAACGACTAAATTCACTATTCTGCTAAGTTTCAAATGTGAAATATGCCTGCTATAGTATAAAAAAATTAGGCTTAGCAGCACTTAAACAACTTTTAAATTGTTGATAAGTCTATAATTATTGCATGCAGATTAACTAAAGGCATAAAAACCTTAGCCCGAGATAAGAACAACATAATTCAATTATTTTTAATGCAAAAAATTCACAATTTACCAACATATAAGAATAAAAAAAAAACTGAACTCACTGAACTGAGTAACAAAGTGAGAATTTATTTATATATATAAATTTATATACTTTTGGTGCTACCGACTGCAACCGAAAAGGGAGGTGCACAACTACATATTATAGAAGTTCCATATACAAAATTTCAATGTTCTGAGGCTACTTGTTTTTGAGTTATGCAAAATACATACATATATACTAATGTGCATACATACAGATGCCATGAAAAAAATTTCTTTTGAATGCATTTTAAATCAGATTTATAATTCGTTTGGGGTAAAACAGTCCATTATTCTGTCCATACATACACATGTCACACAAAAACACTGTTAAATTGCATTCGATAGCGGTCAAAATGGATATTTTCTTTGAAATATGGTACCTGGAATTTTTTGTGATTACAATACTTCCTTTATTTCGTACAAGGAAGTAAAAAGCACTATTCAAATTACAATCCAAAAACATTTACAAATTGTAAACATTATACACTAAAAGCTACACATTAAAGCAACAACACGCAATAAATTTTTATGCGTCTTTTTAATTTGAAACTTTCAAAGATATTTTGGCTAATTTATATCAATTTCCTTTTCTTTAAGCCTCTTTTCTAACAATAAGAAATTATTGAAATCAACTACAACTCGTGGTGATGTAACTAAACAGGGACAGTCAAATTCAAACTAAAAATGTGGACTAGTAGTCAAAGACTATACAATTTAATTTTAATCTAAGCTGCCTTAGTAACTATCCTTGTAACAAATTCAAATGTTGGCAGTAATAATGCAAAGAAGAATAATTACAAATTATCAGAGCTAGCAGGAACTAATCCAGCATGCAAGTGGAGGTCAGAAACATGCTCTGTCTTACAATCCAAAAACCTCAATTTAAATACTATTTAACTGATTTGCATTCTGGTAAGAAAATGGAAAGGAGAAACTATAGCAAAGGCTGAAATTATAAATAACTGGTTAATTTACATAATAATAATTGTACATATCTTTGAACAACAATTTTTCTTCAATACGTTTTGTCTTCATTCTAGACATTTTGGATTTGATTAAAGATTTCTGTTATTCTAAAAAACCATATCACTTAGACTACTTTAACATATAGAAGAAGATGCTAATTTTATTTCTTTCGTAACATTAACATTCAGAATAAATATGAAACTTTAAATAATATCAATCTTTATATTAATATAATAATTTATAATCTCAATAATATAATCTTTGAATAATAATTTTCTTTCTCTTTATGTATTCAGTTTCTTTTCTTTTCTTTTCTCAATAAGTTTCCTCTTTTAGAATTTTTGGGTTTAATTAAAGATTTCTCTTATTCTAAAAACTACAGGTATTTAGAATCTATAAAAGAAGCTGCAAATTTTATTTCTTTAGTAATGTTACAAATTTTTGTATTTAGTTACATATTTTAATTATAATTAAAATTGCTTTATTTCCCCATGCAGTGCAGCACATGACAAATTTTAAGAGAAAGCCATGCCATAAAAATAAAAATACAGGAGCACATGCATTTAAAATTGAATAAAAGTTTATCTCATTAATTTATATTTAATCTGAATAAATGTAATTGACTACTATGTTAGCTGTAACCATAATCCTAAACTTTTGCTTTCCAGAAATCTCGAGAAGCAGAAATTATTAGAATCTCTCACGAACGATTTAAAGCACATTATTCAAAGATTATATCATTGAGATTATAAATTATTATATTATTATAAAAGCCAGACAGAGAACATCTCATCTCAATTATTGTTTACTTAGTTGCTGTTGTTATTTTTGATTGGATTAGCTTTCTCTGCGCTTGCATTCTATTTAGCATTTTAATAGTTTGAATTATAATTACTGATTATTACTATGTGATATTTTGAACACTTGTTCGGATATATCTGAGGAAAATTCCAATATTCTGTTATATTTCTTTTGATAAGAATAAATTTTATTAACATTTTATCAGATTTGTACATTCAATTGATTACGAATCCGTTCTTACACAACAATAATATGAATTCCGAGAGTAAACATGAAAGGTTGTATGGTCAGGGTCAGTTACAGGGTACGTGGTAGAATTCTTAGAATTTAGGGATTCATCAAGCAACAAAATCTAGAAATGACAAAACGTTTAGCATTTAAGTCAGCCACTGGGAGTAGAATTTATGAAAACACTAGGCAGCAGAATTTACAACCTACAGATTGCATCAGATGGGAAAATGCCCAGCCCCAGCCCTGTTTATCATGCTTTGAGACATACAAGATGAATCTTTTAAATTGTTAGGTTTCAATTTCTTTATTAAAAGAAAAATTCTTTTCTATAGATACCTGTCCATGTGACAAGATTAGAAGCATTTTTTATATTTGCCATGCTTGTGTCTAGTGAAAAGAAAAGAAAATAAAGGCAAAATAATCATGTTAAGAAAAAGGCTTCTAGGATCAGAAGTAAATCATTCAAATATTACATTTTCATTGTGCTTCCAAAAATTCTCCCAGTAAAAAATTCATCACAAACTTTCTGTAAAATACATCAATTACAAGTTAATACCATGAAAACACTTTTCTTTTTGTCACATTTTTCTGGAATCTTCTAGAATCATAGGTCTATAAATCTTGCTTTCAAATCCTTCTAAACTGTCAAGATGCAATGTCTAAAATTCAAAAGAAAAATCACCCCTACCAATTTTGTAACAGCAAAAAGGCAGAAATATTCAGGGGGAAAAAATCATACGAAAAAATATTTGTTTAATGAATTTTATAGAGAGAACTGATGCACATTCTGAAAATCCTGAATATTCCAAGACAATTACATCAGGAAAAATTCTTGCCATGAAAAAATAAGAAAAAGGACATTTAACAATAATTACATAGCTATTTTGCTTTACAGCATTTAGTACCTTGTTTATTTTTCAGATTCAAAATTTAGTAATAAGTCACCAAAATGGAAAGTAAATTTACTTTATAATATGATAAGGAAAAATAAAAATGCTTTATTTTAATGATATTTCATAAATATAATTTCAGTATATTACCACTGTTTTGATGAAATTCGTTAATGTTAAAATGTTCTAAAAAAATTGTCGAAAAATTCACAGATCTTCACATTAAAAATTTTATATACAAATTGATCTTAAAATCGGCAAAATGTTGATAAATCGCCAAATTTGGAACCATTTAACGAGTTCACATCTTCAAAGGAAAAAACTGTTTAAGTTCCCTTCATCAGAAAAAAAGAAAATTTTCGAAATATGTATGTTTCATTTCTTGCCTAGAAACTCTTATACCACAACATTTATATTAGAAAGGGGAATAAATTCAAACAACTATATTTGTCAGTGAATCGCCAAAAATATTCCTCCAAAATGCTAATGTACACTCAAAATGGCAATCGTAAAAACGAACTGAAATTTCAGATGATTAAAATTAAGGACATTCCACTAATTTTGGATAAAATTAAAGAATCTTAAGGACCATACAAACACTGAATGAGGATCAATGTTTCAAGGAATTGGTTAAAAATATTTTACTCTCTTAATGAAAAAGAAATCGCTATACAAAATTCTCTCAAAAAACATGCAAAATCATTAAGAACAGGAGTAAAATCTCAAAATAATGTAAATAAAAATTTTGATAATGTTAATATTATCAATTAATTTTTATTCAAGAATGCAATATTTTTCTTTGTAAGCCAGTCACTATTATTACCACTTAAAATAAAAGATTTTTTTTAGACCTCAAAAGAGGTGTACTGTTTTCAATTATAAAGTGAATTCCCTTCTTGGCAAAATAAATAAACAATATCATGCTTTGGAAAGCAATTTATGTCAGAAATGGAGAGATGAAGTTTTTGGTAAGTGCTACCACTACATGGAATATACAGTCTTTGATTTATCTTCAATATGTACTTGTACTGCCTTTCTCAGAATGCCGTCGTCTCTAGCAACGCATAAAATTTTTTATTTATCTTTTAGATTAAGACATCTGTTTTTTAGACATCCGATTTTGATTAACAAAATGAGGAATTTAAAAGCAATAAATGAGCTTCCTAACTGCTCATTTTATTTTTTATTTTTTTAATTTATATTTAAATTTTGTATTTTATTTTCTTACATAACAAACTGAAACATTTATTATACATTTAATTCAAAAATTTTTAATATAGGTAGTTCTTTTATAAGTTATAAAAGATGTATTATATGCATATGCACACATTTGTATAAAATGACTGAAGTTCAGTGACATATGAAAAGGAAACCTGACTTTTGCAAAAATAAAGTAGCAATCAAATATTAATTTGATAAGGCATTTTCCAACTCTTAGCAAATAACCTAACTAAAATATTCAGAATTTTGTTTAAACTCTCTTTTTAAAGAAAGAATTAATGCAATTTAATACATACCTGAGTTTTTGCTATATAAAATGAGCATTGCAAGAACCCAACGATATAAGCATTTCTTTTTTTCAATTAAAAAGCAATCAATAATTCGTACCTAAAAATATAACATAGATATTAAAGACAAAAAACTGAAAAGAAAAAAGACAAAAAACTGAAAAGTAAAAAGACAGAAAACTGAAAAGGTACTTGAAATCAATCACTAAGAATTTAAGAATTAGAGAATGAGTAGTAAATCTAAATGATATATACAGAAATACAATTATTCACTTATTAAGAAGTTTATTTTTGCAGATGCCATAGCTAAAAATTTTTATCAGACTGCTGAAAGTAGTTATTTGGTGACACTTCACGGATAGCATTCACCCAAAGAATGAATTAATTTATTTATTAACCCAAAGAACACTAGCCCGGAAGGGCTATTAATTTCGTTTTGACATTTTGCATCAATTCACTATAAATGGCGAATCACTTTTCAGATTGTTGCCACCAAATATTATCACCTCACCTTGTGTATATTTAAAGAAATTTAATAATAAAGAATCTACATAAATGTATGCATGTTTTTCGCATTGTGATAGAACAATGGCACCTAGAGTCAGCAGATTTTGAATAACGTAATCTTCCCCCGCATTGTGCATCTGGAAGCCCTAGTTTGCAATTTGTTTTATTATCGATTTCATATTCCATAACACTTTAACGAACATTTGATTAACAAAGTCAACAATTTCAAACCGAGCAACGACAACACTGTATGGGGGGGGGGAATTATCTTCAGCGTGTGAGACTGCATATCGGAAATTCTAAAGATATGTCCATTTTAAAATTATTTTGTGATATTACTGTTGAATTGAATTTTATGGTTTAAAGGCAAAGAACATGATATTTAATAAATAAAGGTAACACACAAAACATTAAAAAAAAGTCCCTTTAGGCATAATGTAAAATCTGAAGGCTTTCAGATTTTTTTTTAGTTATATTTTCTCTGCTAATAATCCTGCACTAAAAATATTCATTAAAAAAGTAATTTAAATAGTTTATTTTAGATGGAATTAAACTTTTTAAATAATTTGTTACAGCAAAATAATAAGACATTATTATTCAGTTTTTTGAGGCACTTCTGATTTCTCTTTCATTCACTGGTAAGGTAGACCAGTAAAGTAAAATTAATTCAAAATTTCTTACTTACACTGCAAAAATAACTCACTGACATTGATTTATGAACTTACAATAGAAATAAATTCATAAGCAATGTCAGGATACATGAATTAGATGCGGATCATTCAATATGCACGAGCTATACCTGGATATTTCAAAATGGGAACAACAAAAAATATAGAGAGAATGTTCTCCTACATGACTATTTCAGAATAAAAAAAAAAAAAAAAAGCAAAATTGAAAAAGAACCTGAGTTTGAAGAAAAGTTTTCACGTTAAATGATACTTTGAGCAATTCAAAACTTTCATTGTGAAAATTATTATAATTTTTGGCACTCTTCTGTTATCACAACCGGATGCAGAAGAGTGTGTATGTGCATAAATATGTACATATACACACATATAGGTATGTATATATATATGCATACATGAACCCATACATATGTGCATAAATATGTACATATACACACATATAGGTATGTATATATACACATGCATACATGAACCCATACATACATTTCTGAATCCGTTCCCGATAACAGAAGAGTACCTAATTCTTTCCCCTACTAACTAAATAATGTTTCTAGCTTTATATTTTTCAAAGAAAAGGCAAACTTTTCTCACCCTTAATATTTTAATAATTATATTAAAAATATATTATCTCTTATTAAAGCAGCTTTTTAAAAATGTATTTAATTCCTTTTTTCTCATGATTAATTTTTAATAAATTTATAACCATAACATAAAAATAAAATAAAATTTTTAAATAAGCAAATATTCAAGTTCACTTATTTATTTGCATACTAGAACATTTACAAATTCAAAAGAAAGTCACAAAAATACTTTCAATACAAAACACATAAGAAATATCCTGTTGAATGGAAATATATATATATCATATCAGAGAATTAGTCCAGGAATCTGTGAAAACTATGATACGTTCATTGATGATAAATGAACTCTGCATTTCAAATAGTTGAATAAATTTTCAGCAGTTGTTAGTTGATTTTAATATTTTAATGTGCAATCACACAGCACAGTAAACCATTCAGTTAAATATTGTAACAATTCAGTTTGCTACTCAACAGGATAATCTCAGTAAACATACAATACATATTTTCTTTTTTAACAAAAAAACCAAAATAATAATAATATGAATATTAAAAGTGCTCTTAAAGAAAACGCAGATTATGTATTATACATATTTTAAAAGTTTACAAGAGATCGTAAAATAATTCTAATAGCATTATCTCCAAAATGTTTTTGGACAATACAAAAAATATAATGAAAATTACCAAATAAGGAAATGGCAAGTCTTTAAATATCCATGATAGCCAGTTTTGGAACATACTTTCTAAATCTTCATGTTCTTTAAGTTCCTTCTCAAGCTGAGAATAAGCACTTTTCTAGAAAATAGTTCCAAATATAATATACCACTCCTAATATATACAATCATAAAATTATTAAAATTTTGATGAAATATACATATATGTGTGTGTATAAGTTAAGAGAAAATTAAAGTATTTAATTTAATCAATTTCTTCCATCTAGAGCAACTCGATCGAAAGATAGTTTGTCCAAATGTTAATAAAAATAGCAGCGAGGCACATCACTGCAGCTTAATGTACTTTAAAGTCATACTTAATATTAAAGTTTAATTTTTCTTTTCTGAAGCCCTGTGAGAAATATAAATATATTTAAATCATGGACGTTTGCTCATTAGCCCCTTGAAGTTAAGAACAAGTATTATTCATTATAAATTAAGAAAACAATACAGAATTGATAAAGTTAAACTCAGTAATTCCATACAGCTTTCTTAATTTATAAATAACATGATTATTACAAAAATAATTAAAAGTTTAATACTAAATTATAAAATTTAGTTATAAAACTTCATTTTACTCATCTTACAAACTTTAACATGTCTATACATAGCAAAATTCACTACCATATAGGTATTATACTCCAAGAATATTTACTCAATAAAGCAAACTTTTTATTAATTTTGATAACTTATCACTTTACTAGAATATAATGAACATATTTTTGTAGCACGATTGAAAAACTTTGATACTACATATTAATGCTAAAAGGTAAATTCAAAGTTTAGTTGCAATTTGTCTAATAATTCAAACATTTGTAAATAATTCTAATTAAACTTTTACTTTTTAATTACTTAAGTTTTAACTGGCAGTTTGAAACATTTTAATACATTTGTGAATTTTTCTGATGTAATTTAGGAATCAAATTCAAAGTTTCCATTACCAAACAACTTTGTTGCAATTACTTATTATGCTTGATAACTTAAACTGCTACTAGTTCATATTTATCATAATATATAAGCTCACAGAAATGTATTGATTACTTCTCACTACATCAGATTTATCAATCATAATATAAAATTCATTTAAAATATATTTTCAACTGAATATTACATATTTATTTATTTTTAGAATGCAAACAAAGAAAAGAATATTTTATAACATAATGCAAAACATAATCCTAACTAAATTATATCAGCTAGCACATAAAATTCTACCATCATAAAGGTTCATAAAATGCTTTATTTATTTTTTATATTCTTGTTTGTTATCTGAACATATCCCATAAATCAGAGCACATTCTCCTATTCTATTGAGAATGCTTTCTGTTTTATTTTGCCTTCACCACAGTTTGATCAAATGATCGTTTTCAAGCTTCTTATATATGAGTCATCAATAAAAAACAGGAAATCTAAAAAAATATAAATAATTCTACATATTGCAAAGCTAATTACTTCTAAATACAAACTACTTTAAATTTACAACTTTTAAATTTTTTTTTTTAAATCAGATATTTAAGATATATTTTTGTTAATCTTTGAATTAAGTACATTTCATAAGGATGCATTTTGTAATATAATAGAATATTTTCAAGCATTTTAGCAGAAAAATAAGCAGCTTGAGAAGTTATTATGGCAGACCATATAAAGATCATCTGAAGAGAGTACTTTAACAAAAAAGTCCCATCTCAAAAAAATGAATCTGAAAGAAATGCATGGACAAATTACAAAATACGGATAAGTATTCAATCATGATGAAGTAGATGAATAGTTAATTCATTTATTGGTAGGTGCTCTACAGGAAAAAAGTCAACTGTTAGAAATACTTCTTACTATATGTAATGATAATTGTTTGTAATTGCAAATTTAAATACAGAAGTACTTACAGCATATTTTTTAGTAAGTCTGCAAACTAAATAAGCAGAAGAAGCATGATCAGATTTTGTTTGAGAAATATAGTTTTGCCTATCAGCCAACAACTTTAAAGCACATGAAAATGCCATTCCTTCTGACATATAGTGCAAAAAGAGGCTAATTAATGGGTATAAAATTGGACAGTAAGTGATATCAGGCTTTATGTGAAGAATGACATGAAGAATTTTTTCAACACTTTTTTTTCCCTCTGCATTCAGATAATAGCGAGCACAGTATGCAGGATCGACAAAAGATGGCAAACTGGTAGGAAGATAGGCTTCCCCTACAAAAATAAGAAAGCATATATTTGCTTCACATTCATCATAATATAAATAAAACTCAAAATAATCTTCATAATACAATTTTTAATTAACATGATAAATGTTTAGAGTTAAATAATAAATTACCGAACAAATCTTTCTCGATTTCGTAATAAAAATCCACATGATTATCAGAGGAGATATATTTACACAAGCAATCCCATAATTCTTGCCGTATGGGATGATCAATAGGCCAATGATTATTTCGGACAATTTCTTTTACCTAAAAGAATAATAATACAGCTAATAAATTTAAATGATGTCCCTGTATGGTGAGATTCTGAGGTCAAATTTAGATACATAAATGCATGCTTTAACAAGTTTGTTTAATATATAAAACAAAGGTTAGAATAGATTGAAGGGTGTCCCTTGTATTATCGCTAAGTTGTTTTTTCATTTATGGTAACCTGAGTAGTTGAATGTTATGAAAACCTTATTATGACGTAATCAATTGCATGATTGCGTTGAATTTGAATGATGGGAAAAGATTGTAAGGGCTTGTGGTGCATGTTGATTAGGAACTACATTGCTTGTTTTGTGGTTTAGACAGTAAAATGGCTGATCGTGGTAAGATTAATTTAAAGTTTCTGTATGATTTGGAACAAAAGGGGAAAAGAGCATTAATTGACTGGTGTGTAAATGAAGGTTTACATAGTAGCCATTATAAGTGTCCTGTTTGCAGGTAGGAAATACATATGGTCCAATGTAAAGATCGTTCAGATGGCTATGAATGGGTCTGTTGGAAAAAAGGTTCAAATGCTCACCATATAAAGCATTTGATCAGAAAGGGAACATGGTTTGATGAAGGTCATTTAAGTATGACTGAGACTTTGATTCTTACATGGATGTGGGTCTATGAAGGAAACTTGAAAATCATCAAGACTGAATTTAATATCAACAACAATAAGACTGTAACTGATTGGAAGAATTTTTGCAGAAATATGTGTGTGGATATTTGTATTCAAAAAGATGAAAGGATTTGTGGTGCAGGAGTGGTTGTTGAAATAGATGAAAGTAAGTTTGTAAAGTGAAAAATAATAGAAGTTAATGAGTGGTGGAAAAGTGGATGTTTGGTGGAATAGAATGACGGATGGGATTTTTTTTTTTTTTTTTTTTTTTTTTTTTTAAGTGGTTGAGGTCAGAAGAAAAGGAACATTGTCAGATGTAATTGAATGAAATACTTTACAGGGTACAACGATTATATCTGATTGTTGGAAGTCCTAGAATTGTTTACCTGATAATGGGTTCGTTCACCTTTCAGTAAATCACACACTGACATTTAAGGATCCAGAAACCAGAGCTCATTTTAACAATACTGAAGGTATGCTGAGTGTCGTAAAAAGTATTTCGCAAGAAATGCCACTGACAGTCCGGTACTATGGAGGATATTTTTTACTCTTATTTTTGTGAATTTATGTGGCAAAGCTGATATATGGATTCTAGTTCAGATAATTTTAGGAGGTTTTTGGATGCAGTTAAAGAATTTTGTGTGCCACAGACCGAAGACGTGGAAATTTCTAAATAAGGTAACAAGGATATTTGCTTTGTGTAGTGTTTAGATGTATAAGATGAATTTCCTTTTTTATGCTATTTTATTTTTCATTTAAAATGTAGTTTATTGAGATTATGTATTTTTTGTTTGGCTCTAACGCAGAATTGGGTGCTTCTTTGACTTTTTAAGTGAAAAATAGATCAATGTGTACATGGATAAAGTCAAGGAAATGCACAATGCCAAGTTTGTGCAATTCTCTGATGTTTTTCCATGTGAAAATAGGTCGAGGGGTACATGGATACCGAGTTAGTGCAATTCGTTGACTTATTATTTTGGCTTTGTGTAGCAGCGAATTTTTGGCACAAAAATCGCCGCTACACAAAACCAAAATAAAAAGTCAAAGAATTGCACAAATTCTGTGTCCATGTACCAGCAAAATTTCCCAAGGGGCACCCATAAATATATTTTTGCCGCAATGAATTCAATTTATACACATAATAGCACTTTTCTAGACAAATAAGATTTCTATGAAAGCTATCTGTTTTTGGATTTATTAAGAAACAGACGATAAACTCCCTATCATTTACATAACACTAAATAAAAAATATACCAAAAAAATTTGGACACGTATTTAAAAGTTAAATTTGTGTAAATTCTACTCTAGTTTGACTTCCAACTTAAATATGATAAAACTTTAAAAGACATACATGAAATTGAAGAAATTAATGAATTATTAAACATATGAATATTAAATAAATAAACATAATACACACAGCAATTTCTTAAAGATGTATATGCATAAAAGCAGCAGTTTGAAACAATATGTTCAGGAAAACATATAGTCACATGTATGTGCAAAAAACAACAGAAGCTTCTATTGGAACATATATTAAAATTCTATAGAAAAATATTTGAAAGGTATATCAGTGTCTTAAGATGAAGAATTATGGATAATTATTCTTAACATGTTTCCCAAAAAAATAAAAATATTTCTTTCAAATCTTTTTTCATATTTTAAAACATGGATTTAACAGTTTAAATTAGAATGCAAATAAAATTACAATTTTTCAACCTCAGACTAACTATACGGAACAAAACTAGTACTCAGAAAATTGAATTTGTAAAACCAATATTAAATATTTATATTTTAGGCATAAATTTATTAACATTTAGGTTTGGACACATTTATTTTATAACTATCAAATATATGTTGTAAGCATACAGTTAGAACAACAGAAAGATCAGGTATTTATCTTTCCCTAGTTCAAATACTTTAATATTTGTATTAGACATAATACACACAGTAATTTCTTAAAGATATATATGCATAAAAGCAGTAGTTTGAAACAATATGTTCAGAAAAACATAGTCACATGTATGTGCAAAAACCAACAGAAGCTTCTATTGCAACATATATTAAAAGTCTATAGAGAAATATTTGAAAGGTATATCAATGTATTAAGATGAAGAATTATGGATAATTATCCTTAACACTTTTCCCAAAAAAATAAAAATATTTCTTTCAAATCATTTTTCATATTTCAAAACATGGATTTAACAGGTTAAATTAGAATGCAAATAAAATTACAATTTTTCATCCTCAGACTAACTATATGGAACAAAACTAGTACTCAGAAAATTGAATTTGTAAAACTAATATTAAATATTTGGCTAATCTTTGGAATATGGTAACAGGCAGTTTGGCAACATTTTGGTAAGCGATAAAGGTTACTACCTAGGACTTTGGTAATAATGTGAGAAGTTCCCAGTTCCAATTATGCATTATTTTGTGTGAGAGAAATGAGAGATCATGAGATATGTCATGTGACATTTATGGACGAATCACAGTTCTTTAATCGGAAAAGGGGGAAAATTTGGAAAAATATCTGCAGTACTTTTAAATATTTTGTATTTAGCTTCATTGTGTGTTTTGTGAAAAAGTGTTGCTTAATTTTTGGATCCCATGGCCCTATGTAAACTGAATTCGAAATTTTTATTGCGTTTAGCATTTTGTATTTAGTTTTATTGTGTGCTGTGTGGGAATGAAATGAGATTGTGTGAAAGGAAGGATATTACAGATAAGTTTGAATGGCGGTGCAAGAAATCTGGTGAAAATGGACATTTTGTCATCCGCCATGCACTCAAGATTCTGTAGAAGATTAGGTAAGTTAGTATTTTTAATCATTTGAGGATATTATTTTTATGCAGTGTTTCTAAATATAACGAATAAATATGCTATTATTGGAAAATTTATATTAGCAATGAATTAGTTTACAGTAATTAAGATTTTAAGCTAATTTTTATTAATTTAATATATGTATTTATTTATATTTTAAGCAGTGTTTTTTAATTTAATTATATTTTAATTAAATTATAGTTATTTTGTGAATTATATAATTGTAGCATTTTGGAATTTGTTTCAGTAGAAGTAAAGTAGAAGTAAACATGCATGGAAATAATTTAAATATTTGACACTAAGTATTTGCAACCTTTTTAATGTTTGCGTTATAAATTCGCAGGTGACGTTTATAATAGATAATTTAGAGGGAAAAGTTTTTGGATATTTTATTTATTTTATACGTGCAAATGTTCATCCTTAGAAAGGGTATATACTTTTTTGCGATCAGGTAATTTCATATATGTCATTTTTATCAACTTTAAAGATTCACAAAATTTTCCTGCATTTTCGTGCAAATTTTTCTAATTTATGAGAAAAAAGCAGTGTACATGAATAAAGTTAAGAGTGTGTGCAATGCCATTTTTGTGCCATTCTGGGATGTTTTTTAAAGTAAAAATAGGTCGATGTGCACATGTGTATGTGTCATTCTGAAAAACGTGGCAAGGAGTTTGCGATTCTGCACTTTCTCCCAATTTTGCAGTTAATATTCGTCATGATTAAGCACTTTTGTTCCATAAAATTTCTAGCATGAGCGTAATTCAACTAGCAGATTGTTGGAAAAAATGTTGAGTAAGTAAAAAGAAAAGAAACCTGTCTTTACTTTGTGAAGACAAAATGGCAGCGAAAAAAAAAAAGTAGAATGTTGCTGTAGCAGGGTTGGTTGCCAAATTTTCGCCAAAAATCGCCAAGTTACCATATTCCAAAGATTAACCTAAATATTTATATTTTAGGCATAAATTTATTAACATTTAGGTTTGGAAACATTTATTTTATAACTATCAAATATATGCTGTAAGCATACAGTTAGAACAACAGAAAGATCAGGCATTTATCTTTCGCTAGTTCAAATAATTTAATATTTGTATTAGTAGTTTATTTACAGATATAAACTATAAAACATATTTCCAAAGCTCAGTCTCATAACTATGTGTAACAAAATTATGCAAGGCTTAAGAAAAATTGCAATGCTTTGTTACAATACGCATTATAATGTTTATTTTTAAGATAACAAAATGCTTAATTACTTTAAACATTTTTAAATTCTTAACAAAAATTCAAAAATACACTTTAATGCTACTAGTTAATTCTACATGTAATTGACTGCTACAAAATTCAAATTTCAGGGGTGTTTGTGGGACCCCAAAAAATCCCCTGAAACTTTTACGGACTTACTACCGACATTTTGGAGTTCCGAGAAGGGGGGGGAGAAAAATGAAAAATTACAATTATGAAGTATTGAATGACCTAATTATAAAAGTTCAATGAATTACTTTTTTTGCAAAATTAATAACCATAAATTTTCAAACATATAAACTACTACATTTTATGTAAA